GTGATGCTGTATCCTCACATTGTGCTTAAAATTGGTGCACCCCACAGACCCTGTCATAGCAGCCAGTTTATGAAAATGGGAGATGCTGCATGTGCGTGCTCTTTTTACAGGAATGTTTGAGCCAAAAATACGACCCTACCAACAAAGCTCTGGACTTGAAAGCGGTCAAAATGAATGAAAGTAATAATACTTTTCACGTGGCATAGTGGTTCACCCTCACTCCTGCACAATTGACAACTTGTCACAACTCAGCTTTATTATTTGAGCCGAGAATCGTTCATACTGTTTCTTTAGTCTCATTTGTTCTAGCTTATTCATCCTGTTAGCCTAAAGATATAATTTTCATGTCACTTGAACTAATCTTTAATTAATTCATCCTTATGCGCATCACTCGCTGTACGCATTGCAAGGGGAGTCGAGTTGAACGCAACGCGTAATGAACTGTTGTGCGTCTACGGTCCCCTTCTCCAACTTGTACGATCACCCTCCCCCAACCCCCCAGAGCTGGAGGCACGCGGTGTCGACCTGGTTTTGAATCGGAAGGACCACATGGATGGTCTGAACAAGATCATCCGAGAGAATATGGCGATGGTACGGCCTTCTCCTCTCCCCACGTGTTTTAATGCTTTGCACCTAAGGTGTTGCTGCGTTCGTGAGGCAGAGTCGTCCATGCCGTGAGGGGAAGTCGTCTGTGGAAAAATTTTCCTCAGCAAACCTCGACCACCACCCATCCTTGAAGCTGCCTCACAGCTCTCCGAACTTCCGAGCGAAGGCTGTGGTAAGCCTCCTCATTCTCCAACGTGGGATACTGGAGACCAGCGGCCCCCAAATTTTTTGGCACCAGGGACCGGTTTCATGGAAGACAATTTTTTCACGGACCGGTGGGGGGGGGGGGGTCATTGGGTCTTTCCCCCTTTTCAAAGAAGCTCTCCAGCAACGTTTGTTTTTTAATCATTTTGGCTAGGGTTAGCTTGTGGGCTTACCAAAACTGTGACTGAGACAAGTGTGCAGTGCGGAAAAGAGGCGCGGACAGAAGTGGTAAATAATACAATAATGGGCGGGCCGCTCGGACTCACCACTCACCTCCTGCTGTGCGGGCCCGGTTCCTAACAGGCCACGGGCCGGTACAGGTACCTATCCGCGGCCTGGGGATTGGGGACCCCTGGTGTAGACGATGAGAGTGGGCCTGTCACTTTTTCTCAGCTAGCCTGAACACCTCCTCTGTCAGCCAGGGTCTCTGGGGAGGTCTGGACCGTGTACCCAACACAGCCATTGCAGCTGCATGAGCCAACCCCAGGCACAAGCAATGATGAAATTCTCGCTTGCAACTTTCATCAGCTAGATGAGGCCAGGACAATGTGCGTTTGAATGGGGTCCACATCCACCCCCACCACCACACTATGCACAACCACCACCACACTGTGTACGTTGACTACAGAGTGAGCGAGCAGCGAGGCGGAGCGTTGGTGGAGTCATCGTCGAGAGGAGCTCTTTAATTGGCAACCGCGTGGCGCAGTAGCAGCCACCGCCGCCACCACCACCACCACCATCGACGAACCACGACGTTCGCAACGACATTCAGGACGTTCGCGACGAGAATGACCGAGGGGTCCATTACAAAACGAGTCCCGAGCCTCACTCCTCCCGACGCCCCCCCAACCCCCCCCCTCCCCCCTACAGCCCCCCCTCACCAGCCCCCCCCCCCCAAAAAGAAAAACTACACGCGGTGTGTGTGTCTGTGCGCGTGTCTGTGTGTGTATGGGTGTATGGGTGTCTGTGTGTCTGTGTGCATGTCTGTGTGTCTATGTGCGTGTCTGTGTGTGTATGTGTGAGTCTGTGTGTCTGGATGCGTGTCTGCGTGTCTATGTGCGTGTCTGTGTGTCTGCGTGCGTGTCTGCGTGCGTGTCTGTGTCTTCGTCTCAGTGTCAGATTTCCGCTCGCGACCAACATTGCCGAATATTTTAACTGGTGCCGGCCATCCCCTAGGTCAACTCGGCCTCAAACGAGCACCTGGTGCTGTGGTAAACTGGGGAGACAAAGGGGGCGGGCGTGGGGCTGACGACCCACCCCCTCGTGTGCCACAGTGCCGGTAGCCTTCTGGTGCTGCTCGCCAACAGCACTTGCCCCTACAGTCCATTAGAGACTACACGGGGGAGCTTTGTCTTTGTTGCGACTCTGTGCTTCTATGTGAATGCATCTCGGTTGTCATTTGCGCGTGTCCACGTGTGTTCATGTGTACGTGTGCACGTGTCCACGTGTGTTCATGTGTACTTGCGCACGTATCCACGTGTGCTCGTGTACGTGCACGCGTGGCCACGTGTGTTCATGTGTATGTGCGCGTGTGTCCACGTGTGCGTGTCCACGTGGTGGTGGTAATAGTGATGGAGGTATAGTGGTGGTGGTGGTGATGGAGATAGTGATTGTGGTGGTGACGGTGGTGGTAGACGGTGATGGCGGCGGTGATAGCGGCAGCGTCGTTGGAACAGCTGTGGAGACATATAGGAATCTTAAATAAGTGGTGTACAAGTTTAACTATACTAAAAGGTACAAAGTCTAACTAATACTAAGGGGCTAAAGTATCTAAAACATTTGAATAAAATAAAATATAAAATACAATATAAAAATACAAATAGGGTAACATAGTGGCAATATGGAAAGGTGTCATTGTGCAGATAAAGTGTTAAAGTCAGTGTGAGCCCTTCGCCTTGTTGAAGAGGCCAGCAGCGGATGGGAAGAAACTGTTTTTGTGGCGTGAGGTTTTGGTCCTGATGGATCGCAGCCTTTCTGCCGGAGGGGAGTAGCTGGAACAGAGAGTGTCCAGAGTGGGAGCAGTCGGCCACAATCTTCCTCGCTTGCCTCAGGGTCCTCGAGGTGTGCAGGTCCTCGAGGGTAGGCAGATTGCAGCCAATCACCTTCTCAGCAGTGCGGATGATACGCTGCAGTCTGCTCTTGTCCTTAGAAGTGGCAGCAGCGTACCAGATGGTGATGGAGGAGGTGAGGATGGACTCAATGATGGCTCTGTAGAAGTGCACCATCATTGACTTTGGCAGGTCGCATTTCTTTAGCTGCCATAGGAAGTACATCCTCTGTTGTGCTCTCTTTATGAGGGAGTTGATGTTCAGTTCCCACTTAAGGTCCTGGGAGAGGATAGTGCCCAGGAAGCGGAAGGACTCCACAGTGTTGACTGGGGAGTCGTACAGGGTGATGGAGGTGAGTGTGGCTGTATTCTTCCTGAAGTCCACAACCATCTCCACTGTCTTAAGAGCATTGAGCCCTTAAGGTTGTCAGCTTCCCAACCAGAGTCAGACTCATCCCCACCAGAGATCATCCCCACCAGAGATTAGCCTAATGAGGGTGGTGTCTTCCGCAAACTTCAAGAGTTTGACGGACGAATGACTGGAGGTGCAGCTGTCGGTATACAGGGAGAAGAGCAGAAAAGAAAGGAAGCAGCCCTGAGGAGATCCGGTGCTGATGGACTGGGAGTCAGAGACTTGTGTTCCCAGCTTAATGCACTGCTTCCTGTCAGACAGGAAGTCTGTGATCCACCTGCAGGTAGAGTCGGGCACGTTCAGCTGGGAGTGCTTGTCCTGAAGCAGGGCAGGGATGATGGTGTTGAAAGCAGAGCTGAAGTCCATAAACAGGATCCTAGCATAGGTTGCTGGGGAGTGCAGGTGCTGTAGGGTGAAGTGGAGGGCCATGCTAACTGTGTCGTCCACAGACCTGTTGGCTCTGTAGTCAAACTGCTGGGGGTCCAGGAGAGGGTCTGATGGCTTTGAGGTGTGCCAGCACCAGGCGCTCAAAAGACGTCATTACCACAGAGGTTAGGGTGACGGGTCTGTAATCATTAAGGCCTGTTAGCCTTGGCTTTTTGGGCACAGGGATGATGGTGGAGGACTTGAGGCAGGCTGGTACATGGCATGTCTCCAGGGAGGTGTTGAAGATGTTGGTGAACACCGGAGACAGCTGGTCAGCGAAGTGCTTGAGGAAGCAAAAAAGTGGGAAATAAATCCATAGGAGTTGTTTCCCTGATGTTTAGAAGTTTGTCTCTTGTTAGAGAACTCCAAAAATCTTGGCACAACACTGAATTAACAGACAAACAAGACAAAACAGGGCGCACTGACTGGCCGAGGCTGCCATCATCGGCATCATCTTGAATCGTCACCATCATCATCACCAGAGCTGGCCCAGCCACTAATAGGCCGTAAGGTGAACTAGGAAAAAGTGGCTAGAAAACTATTTTCGTTCCCACACCTGGGAACTACTTTTTAAATGAATTTTTTCATAGACAAAACCATTTTCGACTTTATGTTAAAAGTTCTCCGCAAAATACCCTGCAGTTTTTTTTTTCAAAATCCATAAATGTATATAATTGTGAATTGGAAAAAACGAAAATCTTATGCTGCTGGTTTTGTTTGTAACTTTATTTATATACATTTTAGCAACACCAAATATCTCTCAAACTGACACTTATACATGTACCTAAACACTTGAGACAGGTTTTGGTGCATTATATACTCAAGTGTGAATGTAGACCATGAAATATGGCAATTTTGTAGAAAATATGCTTCAACTTCACGGATTGGCACTAAGCAAAATTAAACATAAACATTTTAAATTTAGCAAAATTGTGATGTTTTGTACATCAAAATTTTCAGTAGGTACTGTGTAATCACAGAAAGATACAAATATAAGCACACTTTGGCCCAACTTGGCTGAAATGACTCGAAATGCTACACTGTCCCCTTGCTTTGGAATGCTGCCAAAAAAAATTACAATTCTACCACAGATTCTTTACAGCTCAAAATCACCTTAAATTATAACACAGCGCATATTTACTCATCGGTATCATCCCTATCACTATCAGAGCCATCATCCCATGTATGTCTTTCTTCTGTTTCCTGTGAAACATTTGAACAATCTTGGCACCGACTTAAATCAGTACAAGACAGTCTTGCAGACATACAGGAACATCTTCCAGTCTCACATTTACTATGCTTGTGTAGGGGTTATTACGGGAGAAACGGCGGACAACAAACACAGGGCTGTCGGCACTCACATACACGGGGGGTCACACCGACGTCCGCATCAGTTATTGCCCACGCCCCCAGCCCTCGGAGGCGATCCCTATAAAAGGTGGAACCCAAAGAGCTCGAGGCAGTTCGACACGAAGCTGACCAGTGAAGATCCAAGACTCGGAGATTAGGCCCTGGGACTCCCCGGTCTCGCCGTCCTTATAAGGGCCGAGCCGGGTAAGCCAGTGGCGCGGCCCAAGAGCTTCCAGACCGCTGCCCTTATCAGGGCAAGGCTGGTTAGCTGGTGCCGAGATCTGTGCTTGCCAGGGCCAGATCAGTCAGCCTCCCGTAGCCCAGTAGAGGAGGACTGGGGGACAGGACAGAGGGCTTAGTACTAGGGTGGGTTTCCCATAGTACGGGTGAAGGGGCCGATACCCCTTCAACTATTGTATCTGTCCCGGAGTTAATAAACAGTGTGTCTCAACTTCCTCATCGTCTCCTCATCAACTTACTACATCTGGTGTTGGAAGTGGGCCAAGCATGGATACGAGACGGAAGACTCGTGCCCAAGACCCAGGAGAGGATGACGACGAGGGAGGGGCAGTGCAAGACATCGCCGCCGACGTACCTGCACAACTGCTGCCGGCTCCGACATCGGCGGGGCCGTCGGAGAGGGCCGGGACGTCGACTGACGAGTTGGCGTTGGCTCACTCGCGGCTGGCGGAGCTCTTGTATGCAGCGGCCGCTATGCTGGAACAAATAACTCGCCTGGGGCCGGGAGGAGCGACGCGGCGGGAAGATGGACAACGCCCGCCAGAAACTCCCGCCTTTACAACAGCGGGGCGACTCGAAAATCCCGCCACGAAGACAGTAGGGGCGGAGGGAGGAGTCCCAGCTCGTCACGCGGGAGACGGTGCCCAGCCAGCAGCCGCCACGTCATCGGCGGAGGCGGGTCGCGGTGGCAGCCTATCAGGGGTTGAAACGTCACCACCAGCTGACGCCAGCACCGACCATACAGTACGGGGACGCGCTACGGATGCTGCAAGAGACGCTCCAAGAGGATCGGAGACGGAGCCGACATTCCAGCAACGCCTGCCGGCCCTGCAGGTATTTGTTGCAAGCGACGGCGATTGGGGGGGGTTCCAGCGCCGGTTCTTGGCCCACCAAGAGATGGCAGGCTGGTCGGACAACGAGGCGCTGTGTGCTCTCCCGGCGTTATTGGACGGCGACGCCCTGGGCACCCTCACTGCTGCACCCAAGTCGGCACGCTCCACCATTCAGTCGGCGCTGCAGCTGCTGGCCACCGTTTATGGGCCGCCCTCCGATTGTCGCCAGCTCTTCTATGAACGGCAGAAGGGTGATAAGGAATCGCCACTCGCTTATCGCACGGCCCTGCTGTCATTGGCGAAAGACGCTTTCCCGCGTATGGATGAAGAGGGGATCGATGCGATGGTGGCCGAGAAAATTTTGCTGCTGGCTGACGATCTGGACTTCACCATCTTAGCGCAGGATGATGCGGATATGTCATCACTGCGGGCTGCAAGGCACATTCACGCCAATCTCATCTCCCAGCGGAGGAAGGCGAACAAAGCTGCTGCACGACACACCGTGGCGGCAACCTCTTCTGGAATGGAGGGAGCCTTCGCTGCGGATCGTTCTGCAGGATGGCGATCTGCCGAGCGACCGGCTCGGGACGTTCCAAGCCACCGAGACCAGCCCAAGTCCTCTGGAACGCTCGTCGTCTGCTATAATTGTGGCCTCCGGGGCCACGTGGCGTCCGGATGCCGGGCTCCTCGACAGCGCGGTGCGAGACCTGGAGCTGCGGACGGCCCTCCTCACAAGCCTTCGCAACATCCTCGGGCAAGTCATGGCACCCCACATGTTCGGCCTGCACACACACCCACTTTCCTATCACATGGTCCGATACACAATTCTCGGGGGTTGGGTGCTGGTGCGTCGGGTCGCGGCATGTCGGGGAGGGCGCTCCAACCGGGCCAATGGTCCGAGTTGGCTCACCGAGTTGTGGCTGCATCAGCGGGGTCGTCCGTTGTCGCGGGGCATATTGACGGGGTGGAGGTACGGCTATTGGTCGATACGGGAGCTTCGGCAACTATCATTTCAGATTTGATTTATAATATCCTGCCCGTTCAGAGTCGCCCGTTGCTCCCTGTCGATATACCGTTTTACGCTGCGAATGGGGGCTCGTTGGGTATTATCGGTCAAATTCGAGCGCAAATTTCGATAGGGGACATTAAACTATCTGGCCCGGTGTTCGTCTCCTCCTCGCTGGCTATTCCGTGCCTGTTGGGGACAGACTTTTTGGCCAAATTGCCCATCAAAATTCTGATTGACCAGCAATGCATCGAGCTTCCATCGGGCCGACGTATGACGTTCCTACCTGCCACCCCTGCCGTGCGTGTTGCCTGTGCTACGGTACAGGCGCTTGTTGCTCGGACGGTGCGTGTACCCCCGGGGGCACAGATGTTGGTACCCCTGCGCTTGCGTCGACCGTTCGATAAAGGAGTCTCTGACCGGGGCGTTATTTTGGGACCATCTAGAGCCGGGGTGAGTGGGCCAGATCTGGTGACGGCCCAGACTATTGTTAAAGGGGATGGGGACCCGTTTATCGCGGTCCTCAATGTCGGGACACGGACGGCAGTGGTTTCGCAAGGTACCGTGTTCGCACATGCGGTTCCGGTACCTGCGGAAACGCCGATCATTGGCCAGGTGGCCACCGATTCTCAAACGCGATTAGCCTCAGACGCTGACGAGGTTTGGCTGGATGCGTTGTGTGCTGAGTCACCTGACCTGTCTGACGCACAACGTGCTAGATTACGCGCCTTATTGCGAGAATTTTCCGACGTCTTCAGTAAACACAAATACGATATCGGATGTACCAAATTGCTACGCCACCATATTGACACCGGTGACAACGCTCCTATCCGCCAAAATCCTTTTCGGTTAAGTCCCGCCGAAAAGGATCATGTCAAATCGGCTGTAGATGACATGTTGAAATCGGACATCATTTCTCCCTCGACCAGCCCTTGGGGTGCACCCATAGTGTTGGTCAAAAAGCACGACGGGTCCCTAAGGTTCTGCGTTGATTTCCGGCGATTAAATAAGATCTCGGTGGCCGATGCTTATCCGCTTCCTCGAATGGACGAATCGCTGGATGCCCTCGCGGGATCGCGATTCTTTTCCACTTTGGATTTGCTCTCAGGATTTTGGCAACTTCCCTTGGACGACGAATCCAGGCCCAAAACAGCTTTCCGAACGCCGCACGGCCTCTTCCAATTCAATCGCTTACCCATGGGATTACACTCTGCTCCCGCGACGTTCCAGCGCCTGATGGAATTGGTCCTCGCTGGCTTGCAATGGGAGGTGTGTTTGATTTACCTGGATGACGTTATCGTATTCAGTAAGACGTTCGAGGAACACCTTGATAGGCTTCGGGCCGTCTTTCTCAAAATGCGCGCTGCTAATTTGAAATTCAAGCCACAAAAGTGCCATTTGCTGCGCGAATCTGTTAAATATTTGGGTCACATCGTCGGCCGGTCAGGTATCTCAACCGATCCCGCCAAAACGCGTTGTGTCAGCTCCTGGCCTATTCCCACCTCGGTGGGGGAGGTTAGAAGCTTCATCGGCTTTGCTTCATATTACCGCCGGTTTGTTGCGGACTTTGCTTCCATCGCTAAGCCACTACATGCCTTGACGTCAAAAGGGGTCAAATTTCATTGGGGGCCGGTGGAGAACGCCGCTTTTGTCTCTCTTCGGGATGCCCTGGTGGGGGCCCCGCCGTTAAGCTACCCCGATTTTTCCATGCCGTTCGTGCTCGACACGGACGCAAGCAATACCGGGATTGGAGGCGTGCTGTCACAAATTGTGGGTGGCGTGGAGCGCGTTGTGGCTTATGGTAGTAGAGTACTGTCCCCGGCCGAGCAGCGGTACTGCGTCACCCGCCGCGAACTGTTGGCTATCGTGTTCTTTATCCAACAGTACCGGCCATATCTGTACGGCCGCCATTTCACCGTCCGTACAGATCCTGCAGCGTTGCAGTATGCCCTACGAATTAACCAGCCATCGGGGCAGTTGTCCCGATGGCTCGAGATCATGCAGGATTTCGATTTTGAGACAACTTACCGGAAGGGGATTCGCCACACCAACGCCGATGCCCTATCACGCCTGCCGATCGCCCCGGATTGCACTTGTTTCTTGGGTTCGGGCCGTTGCAAATCGGCAAGTGACGGCCGGGATCGGGTTCTTGCGGCCGCAGTTGATACTCCTTCGGACGCTGGTCCTATTTCGGAGGGTGGGAGTGATTCCCTACTTGGCTTGTCAAGTACTGAGTGGGGTCGCCTCCAAATGGAGGATGCGACCCTCCTGGCGCTACGACGTCGCGCGGAAGGATCAGGTCAAGGGAAGTCGGGCGTTGACTCATGGGGGTGGTGCCAGGGCTTACTCATGCATTGGGACGGGACGATCCGCCGTCACAGGCTGGTGGTGCCTTCCACGTTGAGGGGTAGGGCTGTATGGGCTGCTCATGAACGGCTCCTGCACCTGGGTACCCTCAAAACACTTGCCATGCTCCAGCTTAATTACTTTTGGCCGGGCATGGCAAGAGACGTGGACGATCTGCTGCGGTCCTGTACCCAGTGTGCACAACGGAAGCCGCCGGCGAAGGGAGCCAGTCCACCGCTCCAGTCCATTTCGGTCACCCGGGTTAACGAGCTGGTCGCCCTTGATATTTTGGGACCGTTCCTTCCACGCCGAGGGGTAATAAGTACCTGCTGGTTGGCGTGGAATATTTCACGCGATGGCCTATGGCTTGGCCCCTCGCCAACCAGTCCGCAGCGGCCGTTGCGGAGGCTTTTGTTCAGGGCTACGTCCTCGACAAAGGCGCTCCGGAACGGTTGTTGACCGATCAGGGAAAGAATTTCACTAGTACCCTTTTACACGAGGTATGTGGCCTTCTGGGTACAAAGAAAGTTCGTACCTCGCCTTACCATCCACAAACGGATGGGATGGTGGAACGCTTGCATAGGACTCTTACGTCCATGCTATCCCACCAGGTATCTGAGTCCCAAAACGATTGGGATCTACGGATCGGGGGAGTCCTGGCGGCATACAGGATGGCTCCTCACGCGGCGACCGGGTTCTCGCCATTTTTTTTGATGTATGGTCGCGAGGTTGACCCGCCTGTCGCGACTCAGCTGACGATTGCCGCGCCTCATGCTAAGTCGAAAATCGCCGACCATGTTAAATTTAACATCCTTCGCTTGGCGGAGGCATGGCAGGCGGCCATGCAAAACTCTGACTCTCGCCAGAAACAAAACGAGAGATTGCGGTCGCGCCGGACTCACACGCACGAATGGCACCCGGGCGACCGAGCATGGTTGCACTGCCCTCAGGTGCCATTGGCCACCTCGGCTAAGTTGTTGCGACCATGGAGGGGCCCCGTTGAAATTGTGCAGGTTGTGCGGCCTCAATGTGTGCGCATTAAGTGGGGGAAGCGTCGGTGGTTTGTGCACCCTTCACGGTTAAAGCCATTTTTTGCTCCGCACGCTTCCTCCCACGTAAATGGCCGAACATGTGGGGAGTCCTCTGACTCCGGGGGGGTGGGATCGATGCCAGCCTCTGATCCACTAATGACTGTCCCGTCTTCAGGAGCCCCAGGACTGAAGCCCTCTGGGCTGCCAGCCTCCCCCGTGGGGGGCGGCGCTGGCACGTCCGGGAAACCGGACGACCAGGCACCTGCTGATGCGACACCTGCCACTGACTCTACCAAGCCGGCCCCTTGTGACGGGCCCGCTGCACGGACTCGCGCCAAAACGCGCCGGTTGTTATGATTAGCTTTCCGCGCGTGTTCCGTTGCTGCGGAACCCGCTCATTGTATATATGTTTTTTTAATGGTTGTATGTGTGTGTAATAACGATGACCACGCTATCTGCTTGTTGCTTGCTGTCCATGTAAGTGTGTGCGTGTGTTGGGAATGGACGGAGAGTCTGCTGTGGTTGCTGAGTTTCAAAGGGAGTGTGTGCGCTGCTGCGTGGAGTTGTTATCTTGATGGTAAAGTTAATTATTAACGTGGGAGCGTCGGGTATCCTGTGCTGTACCATCTCGTGGGTCACCGTGCGCGATGGGCTTAATTGAAAAAAAAAAATGTTTTTTTTGGGCTGTATTATGCTGCGAGGTGCTGTGTGCGATGCGGTCGTTGCATGAGAGGGAATAACTGTGTTGTGGTTGAAAAGTTACGACGGGATTGATGGTGTGTTGGTCGCCTGCAGATTTGCTTGCTATTGTGCTTCAATGTACGCGTGTGATCGCGATATGCTGATTGCATGTGCTGTTATACCGTTCTGTATATGTGTTGCGGTTCCGGGTGGGGGTTTTTTTTTTTTTTTAGGGAACCATCGGTTGATGTTACGCTTGTTCTTGTTATTGTTACTGTTACGAGGCACACGTGTATTGACGGTGTTAATCTTTATTCTTGGGGGTTGAGGGATTGTTGCAGCCGGGACGGCTGCGAGCTGTACAGGGGGGGGTGATGTAGGGGTTATTACGGGAGAAACGGCGGACAACAAACACAGGGCTGTCGGCACTCACATACACGGGGGGTCACACCGACGTCCGCATCAGTTATTGCCCACGCCCCCAGCCCTCGGAGGCGATCCCTATAAAAGGTGGAACCCAAAGAGCTCGAGGCAGTTCGACACGAAGCTGACCAGTGAAGATCCAAGACTCGGAGATTAGGCCCTGGGACTCCCCGGTCTCGCCGTCCTTATAAGGGCCGAGCCGGGTAAGCCAGTGGCGCGGCCCAAGAGCTTCCAGACCGCTGCCCTTATCAGGGCAAGGCTGGTTAGCTGGTGCCGAGATCTGTGCTTGCCAGGGCCAGATCAGTCAGCCTCCCGTAGCCCAGTAGAGGAGGACTGGGGGACAGGACAGAGGGCTTAGTACTAGGGTGGGTTTCCCATAGTACGGGTGAAGGGGCCGATACCCCTTCAACTATTGTATCTGTCCCGGAGTTAATAAACAGTGTGTCTCAACTTCCTCATCGTCTCCTCATCAACTTACTACACTTGCAACTGCAGTGGACTGCCTGCAACACACTTTCAGGGGCAGGATTTCTAGTCATCCAGGTCACTATTAACTCACCATCCTCGAGGTGCCATCCATTACCAACGGGTGAAGGGGCACACATTATACCTTTTCAGAGAATGTCTCATTATGGCTGCTTGGTAGTTTGCCCTTTTGCAGTGTTGGTACAGGGCGTCACTTGTAAGGGGCATGGATAGTTCTGGAAAAGCTGACGATGCCAGCACTGCCTAAAGGATATGACACAGTTCCCAAGGAGTAAGACAGAATTTCCTGCAGGTCAATTTTTCTACTTTGACCTATGACGAGTAATCTGGAGAATAGTTTCTTGTTCGCACGTAGATTTCTTCTTTGTCTTTGCTTGGTCACTAAAGGTCTTCCGTTTTTGTGTTTTGATGGGAGCAAATATGTCAACTGATGGTGATAACAGTCTTTGGTCCATAAACTCTTTGACAGCATTTTCCCCCTTTTTCCGGAGCTGCGAGCAAATCCCACATGATTTCTTCAGCTGCTACTGTCCCAGAGCTAAGACACACAATGCCATCTTGGTGTGTGTTAAAAGGATTCAGCATGGAATCTAGGGTGGAAATTATTCTGGTCACAGCCCTTTCATCAGCATGAATTCGTGTGCTGTCAAGGTCTTTTCGTTTCCTTATATCGGGAGATTTACCTGCCATTGCCTCACATTGTCTTGCAATGGCAGCCCTTTCATGTTGCGACAATATCCAGCGATATACTGCAGCCCGATTCTGTGTTAACCCTGTCCAACCACTCTTTGTCTTGGAATCTCTGTTGCATGTTTGCTCAATGGCCTGGTCACAAGCAATCGAGGCAAATCCATGGACACTTTGACGTTAGACAGTCCACTGGCCTTTAACACTGAGCTCACTGTGGCAAGAAGGATGTGTGAGGGGCAAATTGATAATTTCCAGCCAGTAAGAAGATAAATACCTAGCATAATTTACACGATCGTACGCAAAAAACCATGCCATCATCAAGCGCACTGTTGACAGGTGAAGCTGCCAATCCGATTCTCGTGTTGCTCTCACAAATAGAAGGAGTATCTGTACCATGTCGATGTATGAACTCCAGAAGGCAAACGTTGGGTTTTCTGCATTTCTTCTTTTAACAAAGTCTTCATATTTCGAACACATTTTGTCAAATATCTCATTTGCACACAAAACAACCATTGTTCTGTCCGGGAATGCACATTTGATCTCATTGATGACATCCAGACACTCATATCTCTCCTCTTGTGGCAGAGAATCTAAGAAGGTGAGAAGTCTCATGCGTTGCAGACTCTCATACAGAAGTTTGTGTGCCCTCATGCTGCGGTTGTAATGATGACCACTGATCACTCCATTGATGGATCCTGGGGCAACAACTTTGGACTCAATGACTATGTCTTGCAGTCCTGCATCTCCAAACCTTTTTCCTAGAATGCTCAGGTAGGACATGCATGTGTGAAATTCACCTAGTCTAATCGCTTTACGCTGAGTAATCATCTTTCCAGCGGATTTGCTGAGCTTTGGCATTTATAGCTTTTTCAAAAACTAACACTATATGGTCCAGTTCTAGCTGATTATAAATTTGGACACTTCGCTTCAGAATTGTGTTTACTGTTGACATCTCTGTCGGTGAAGCCTCAATGACTGGAAGATAATACAGTGCTGACTTTTGCAGAGTGCCATCACCTCGAAGTAATGTATGTAAACCTGTCCAGCTTGGTAATGTGCATCTTTCAGCATCTATGGACTTTACAAAAACATATGCCAGTTCAGTTTGTACAGCAGACACCGTGTTCAATTTGTATGTGTCCGCCTGTAATGGAACACTTTCCTGATGAAACAAGTTCTGTGGTCCTTGTCTATTAGACTGATGGTACTGTTCGACAGGGATGCTAGGGGGTACTTTCAATGAGGGTTTTCCCTTCTGTAGTGGTTGTCTGTTTGTTGTTGACACAGGTTCAACTACAGAACTTTGCAGCATAATCCCATTTGTGTGTTGGGTAGTTCCACGACCTGACAGTGTCTCCTCCCCAAAGTCAATATTGTCCCACACAAGTACTGTAGGAACCTTCTTTGAGAATCCCTTTGGTATTTTGTCTCTGCCCTCTACTAGCTGAAGTTGGGCAAGGCTAATGTCTAGACTGACAACTGTGTCCCATGCTGCACAATGTCCTAGTCTATTTAGAAGTGACACAATTTGTGATGAACCTGTTAAATGGCGAACCGTTAGACCAAGACAATGATTTAGGGGTCTGCCTCCGACCCTTAGATGCAAGATACACAATGTCTTGACAGATACATATCACCTTTAGGTTCAAATCATCTGGAATATCAACATAATGGGCCAGTGTTGGTTCCTCAGTTGCACCAATAATCCAGGAAATCAGATTGTACAGTTCAATTGGAACGACAGATTTTGCCTCGCTCACATTTAGGTCATCTGATGTGGGTAGCCACGGGCATTTCATACCGGGAGAGTCACACAGAAGCATCTTTAATATTAATGCCGCACTGTAAAGTGTCCTCGTGTCCTCTGCAGTATTGATGGAGGCCATTGAACTTGGTCTTTGTGGACCAGCTTTTGCACTAGCCCTGTTTTCAGTCATTTCGCTAGTTACCTCAGTTGACTCTGTTGTTTCTGTACTTGATAGATGAGGTAGCCTGTCTATCAGCTTATCTGCAGACAATGTCTCAACGAAAACCATCTCACTTATGTTGCGCTTCTTGAGGGAGTGAAACACCAGCTGGGGGAAATCACAGGCCAACCTCCTACTTTTGAAATGTTAAAATATGAGGGAATTATTCATTAATATTTATTAATATAAAATATTGCTAACTCACTGTTCTTCTGAGGTCACAGTAACTGATGCACTAGACTTTGTCAAGAACCTGGTGTACTGTCTATAACAGGACTTGTGGTATCGCACCTCCAGAGACACACAGTCTTTGTCTCGAATATGCACAAGAATGCTAGTGTCTTCCTTCATCTCAGCAGCTTTCAGCAAATTGCCTGTAAATAAATTTTAAAAAAAAATTCAACTAATAAAAAACTGTGTTAAGACTTCTTGGTTCTTTCGGTAAAGCCACGTAGAAGGGAAGTAATAAAATAATAAAAATAAAACATAATAAAATAATTCTCACGACGTTTCGGCCACAACGCAAGCAGCCGTCCTCAGGTGAAGAACATGTCTGTCGATAAGACAGAGTCTAAATGACACGTCTTAGGCTTGGAGTGTCTATTTAAGCTGTGAGGGAGGAGGAAGAGAGCCTTGACAAAAGAATTTGCATTTGAAGAGGAATTTAGCATATTTATGGGAAATGCAGGAATGCGAATAGTGCTAATTGTGAAATGCGTCGGAGGTGGGCGGGTGGTTTTCAAAGTCATATTATGCCCATGCATTATGCAGGATTAGCAGCATCAAAGGGAGGGAGCAGGGGCAGGGGCAGCACCAACAAAGGGAAGGAATGTGAATAGTATGCAGCTGCAGCAACCAAACAACCACGTAAAAAACTAAAGTATAAACTTCATAGTATCATCAGTATACTAAATATACTCTCCAATAAGCTGAGCTACTAACAGTAAGTAATACATTACAATTCTATGTCGCAAAAAATATAATATGCTTCCAGCTAAACTTTTTTCCCTTACATCAAACATGTCTACCCCATACTATATGCTGCCATAGACAAACCCAACATTAAATTATATACTGTATTACTATACACCACCCTATACCTTATACATTGTTATATTACACTATGTATTATTCTACCCACCCTAATGTATATCACACTGCTATATATTCACTATACAATTACGATACTATATATTACTTTGTACATTGTATTAAGCATATAAATGTTATACTATTTGTTATTATACACTGTACCATTTGACCGTCGTGTGAAAGATACTAAGAGGCAGCAACGAAATATGAGCAAAGAATCCATTCCTTGCGGAGAATACAATGCCAGTGAGTGTAACGCGGTCTGAGAGTCACCGTAAACGTGAACACAATCAGTTAAGATCCGAAATGGTTTATTACGTCCTTCCAATGATTGCTAAGCCAGAATCCATCTTCTCGGTTGAAATTGTCTCTGTGTTAGTATATGTGGATCACCTCATGAACGAATCTCTCATGATAGCCAGATGGCTTGCAAAGAACCTCTGTCTTGGAGAAGTCAATGTCATGTGAGCCCACTGAATTGTAACAGTGATCTGCCACGGCTGAGGAGTTTGTCCTACCGTGTTTCTCTACTCTCTCCCATTCTCATATTTCGTTGCTGCCTCTTAGTATCTTTCACACGACGGTCAATGGTACAGTGTATAATAACAAATAGTATAAAATGTACATGCTTAATACAATGTACAAAGTAATATATAGTATCGTAATTGTATAGTGAATATACAGCAGTGTGATATACATTAGGGTGGGTAGAATAATACATAGTGTAATATTACAATGTATAAGTGGTTTATAGCAATACAGTATATAATGTAATGTTGGGGTTGTCTATGGCAGTATATAGTACGATGTAGACTCGTGTGATGTAAGAGAATAAAGTTTAGATGGAAGCATATTATATTTTTTACGACGTAGAATCGTAATATTATACTTACTGTTAGTAACTCAGCTTATTGTAGAGTATATTTAGTATACTGATGATACTATGTAGTTTATACTTTAGTTGTTTACGTGGTGGTTTTAGTTACTACAGCTACACAATATTAACACTCCTTCCCTTTATTAATGCTACCCCTATCCCCTCCCTTTGATGCTGCTAATCCTGCATAATGCACGGACATAAGTAGTACTAATCACATACCTGCATTTCCCATATCCCCTCCCTTTGATGCTGCTAATCCTGCATAATGCACGGGCATATGTAATCACATACCTGCATTTCCCATAAATATGCTAAATTCCTCTTGATATGCAAATTCTTTTGTCAAGGCGCCCTTGCCCCCCCTTCCAACCCAGCTTATATATATATGCTCCAAGCACGTGTGCTGTTTCATTCAGACGCTGTCGCCTCGACAGACCTGGTTTTCACCTAAGGACGGCTGCTTGCATTGTGGCCGAAACGTCGTGAGAAGTATTTTACGTTTTATTTTTATTATTTTATTACTTCCCTTCTACGTGACTTTACCGAAAGAACCAAAAAGATGTTTTATTGTAATTATATGCTACGTTAGTAATCAGTTAATTAGTATTTTTTCCCCTATAAGGAATTGTAATATGTATTATTTAATAATACGCTTCCAGGCCGCACTAAGCCTGTGGCTGTCTGAGCGATGTAAGTT